ACACACACACACACACACACACACACACACACACACACATATATATATATATATATATATAATATCTGTATATATGTGCATATGGACTGACAAATTCATGCAGATATATATTTCCTGCTCGGGCTTACAGTACTGGGGTTTATACGTGAATAACATCATACCCCCACAAGCACGTCAGCACACTGTTGCACTCGAGCACATCATCGCCGCTACAACTAGTCATTGACATTGATTCATACTTACATAGTATACGACAAGTGTGATACATGGTACACGATTGGGTTTACTTATTGTCCTTCTTCTCGTGGTGACCTGTGTTTCGGTTCGTAGCAGGGCCCATTCTCTCCATACATCAGACCCAGAGGAGTCGACAGAAATTCTACACAGAAGTCGCTCGCCTGTACTTCAGAGTGCCACAGAGGTACTGAGCCAAGGCTTGACACGGGGTGCAAATGTATGTGCGTATCCGTAACCGGACAATGAAGGCATAAATCTGCATGTTAGGTGATTGGTAGCCTGAGATATTAATGTGTATGTGTAATGGTCACTGTACAACGAAGGTATGCACACGTATATCTGGTGGTTGGTAGAGTGAGGGATATCTGTGTAGGTATGTTCGCAGGTGTTTGCTGTGTGAGTACCTGAGCGTAGTGGTATCTCAATTGACGTAAATATGAAGTGTAGTGGTATCTATACATACGATAATATACTTGTACGGGCACCTACACACTGAACGTAGCGCCTAACAGACCATAGCACTAACCCTCAAACACACACACTCAAACGATCCCATTTAATGATATTGTGCACATCATCAATTGGCATTGTCAGGTCCAGACTATAGCTTTTATGCTCATACATACATGTTTAACAGACGCAATTCCCTCATACATACACATACGTATTTAACAGATATGTATCCCTTACACATACGTATTAAACAGAAAAGTATCTCTCATATATTGATTATTGATATTGTTTACTATATTTATCTCCATCACCTCAAAGGTGACCCCTATCGAATCGGAGCGATGCTGTGTACCTGTGCTCATGGCAGGTGACGAGTCCTCGGGACGTTTTTCAGGTCTAGGTACGTTGTTGATGGCATTGTGAGAAGGTGAGATATGAATGGAGAAGATACGCAAGAGTACTTGGAGATAATGAAAACTCCACTTTGGACAATAACACAC